TATGAAAATTAAGGCGATCTGTAGTTGAAACTCTGACTATTACCTAGACAATATTTAAGTTCCAAAGAGATTTGTCTCTCAATCTTAAGCTGCTTGTAGAAATTAGCTATGAACATCTCAGCTTTGTTGTTTATGTCTTCGTCTGAAGATGGATCATAACTCCCGGTTCTCCACAACGCTCCCCTCGAAGAACCGGTTGAGTCCGGTTCATTCTCCTCGGTACAAGCTGCTGCTAAACCGGGTCTATCGTTGAAACTAAACCGAAGAGACGAGGAAGAAGAGGAAGAACCAAGCATCGGTACGAGACCCCAAAGGCTGTTTANCTTGAAACTCAACACGAATTTCACTTTATTCACGGCTTGTCTCAGCCGGTTTAGTAGCGAACCGTCTTTGCTCTTTGCCATGTCAGTTATACAACACTTTTTTCTTTTTGGTATGTATTGGTTTTTTTTGTGTGTTTGATTTTTGGAATATGTTGAAAATCTTGCAAAAGTAGGGGTCTTATATAGACACGGGTAATGTCGGCTGCAAACTTATATGTTCTAAGCATATTTTCAAAGAAAACCGTATAACATATAGTTTTAAGTATTATAATATACAGATATACACAGGAATAAAATATTGACTGGAAGTTTACGTACCAATATCGAGGCGTACCAATGTGGTATAGCGAGTGAAAAGTCGAATTTTCTAAAGGAAAAGTGGGGTGCAAGTCGTATATATATTCGAGTATATTATTCATTTTTTTGGCTACTGTTTTTTGTAAACTTCGTAGTCGTCTAGTAGTGGTTGTAAAAGATTTTATTTCAAGCTTCTTGCATGAGGAATTCGAACTCAACCTAAATTGAGGATGACATTTAAAGACTAATTAGCACTGAACCATTTCTGTGTATAACTCTTGTGTTTCTTAACTGATTAATGTTGAGAAATAACTAAATAGAAATGTCATTAAAATTATGCGCGTGTAATTTACATATTTTTATTATTTATTGCAAACTTATAGAAGTATTTAATTAACTGAAAAATAACTAAATAGAAAGGGAAAAGGAACTAAGAATGACTCAGTCAACATTGCGGGCGAAGACTTAGCTTTCTTAATCGCGTTATTAGTTTTGCCTGATATCTTGTAAGACACGAAAGATGACAACGATTGTTCTATATTTTGATTTACTAATGGTCTTATATTGGAAAACGCTTTTCAACTGTAAAATTTGTTTAAAAATACTAATAAATGAGAGTAATCAAATATAATCAATACTAGATTCTCATCCGCACTATATGCGGGAACATTCGTTATATATGTTGTAAACTATATTTAGCTTTTGTATTATGTTGTATATAATATGTTCTAACATTAGATATTGTATGTCTTTAGTTTGTAGGTAGAATCGATTAGTTTGAAATAATAAGGATTTTTGTTTTAGTTTGTAGGTAGAAATCCTTTCCCGAATTTTCGTACCATACATGTTTTAAATTCCCAATTGGGAACGGGACATGATGGGACGGGAACGAGAATTCTCGAAAATCTCGTTTGAC